GATTAGAGGTGTAAATCGATTCTGAATATTAACTAGGAGAATTTTTTGAATCAGAAAGTCAGTTTTAAGATGACCTGGAAGATGAATAAAATGGGTAGCTGAGGTTAGTCAAAACTTTAGCGAAAGTTAAGTGAGAGTTTCATGCAAAACTAGCAATTGCTTTTGATGCTAACCGATGAAAAAAGAGAGAAAAGATTTTCAACATTACAAGAGATGAGTTTATCTGCTATTTTGGCGACTGCCGCCGACGGATTTGGTATTCTCCTTTCCCATACTCTACAATCACACTTGACTAAATTTTCTGTTGGTTCGGTGTTATCGCGGCTTATACAATCAAGAAAATTGTTTTTTCTTGTCTTCCAATATCTCTGTACTCTTAATTGTTCGAGAAGTATTACATGGAAAGGCAGCTTTGGGTGGAATTGTGTTTGTTTCTTTGCATGACTGTTAAGTTAAATCGTAAATTCTTTATTTATTTCTGAGCATAGCACTCACATTCGAAAATGGATTCAGGCTTAAAGCACATATTACTGTCGAGAAAAAAATGCGATTACAAGTATTAATCCACATTGCACACTAAGCGTCAGATACTCCGACAGTTTTCTCGCTGAATTTTTTCTGGAAGTTGTTGTAGTTGTTGTCGTTGTTGGTGTTGTAGTTGTGGTGATTGCTGTTGTCGTTAACGTGCTTTGTGTCAACAATTCCCTAGCTTCTAATAGTCGTTGCACTTCTATAGCCATGGTTGAATTGTTACACATAGGCTTGTTACATGTATACATTACAGATGACTCTACATCCGTTTCTGACACTGTCTTCGAATCTATGACAACGCCATACGGATTGGCTATGGGACCTTTAGGAACACAGCTGCGAACTAAATTCGAAGCATCGGTGCTGATCAATTTGCAAAAGCCATTGGGGCAAGGAACAGCTTTGTCGTGATTGTCAGCACATACCAGATCAGCAGGATTAGCAGTATAATCATATAAACGCGTGAGAAGATTGGCCCATAATTCTTCATATTTGAAGACTCGCACTAGAAGAAAAGGTTATTCATCAAATAAGTTGTGTTGGGAAAGTTGCAACTCGTCACGATTTTTCTTGTCTGGCTTTCGTAACGAATTTTACAGGGTGATCGTAACCGGTGGTTTGACATGTGACTGCGTTACGATACCCCTAATTTTTGTTACGAACTCCCTGTTGGCTCGTTACAAAAACTCTGCAACTGTTACGAACTCCCTGTAAATAACAGCTACGATAGCCCTGTAAATTTTGTTACGATATCCCTGTTTTCTCGTATATCCCTATTTTTAGTGTTACGAAAGCCCTGTTTTTTCTGAAAAATTCAACTCGTCACGTGACGAGTTGCAACCTTCTCGTTGTGTTTTCTTCGCGTGACACATCGGTTTTATGAATGATTTGATTCTTGAAAGCACTAATTCTATTTATTTGAAGCATTGTGACGAACATATTTATTTGAAAAAAATTGCTTTTGCGAACCCATATTAGGTATGTACTACTATCCAAATTTGACAGGTCAACAGGATACTGTTTCGACTGAATATTTGGTGCTACTGAATATCCAACTAACTGATTCATAATTGATACTATGATTAGTATTTTGTTTTGGAATATATCATACTTGTCTGAATATTATGCCGCTAAAATACTGCGAAGTAACATGATATCGAACTCACTTATTGCTCCTGTATTATTAAGTATTCAATTGCTACTAATTATTGAATTGTAATATAATTTTTCATCTCACACAGCTATTTGTCACATTAGATTTCGTTCATGATTATTCAGAGAAAACTGCTTCCGATTTGGAGTGTCGAGTTTAGGTATGGGTGTCTATGCAGAGAAAATCATCACCGACATTCACATCCGCACTCATGATAATATCGTTTTCTTTCATGTCTTTGCTACTTGCCTCCTTCTGACTTTTCTGCTTGGGCTTACCAAAAATAAATGCATGATTTTTTTTGTCTTATACTGTTCGAAACCGGAGAAAGCAGAGCGATAAAGCTAAACAACTGCAAGTGATTGCTATTTCTCTCATGTCTACTCTTATCTTTTTTGTTAAGTAAATCCGGTGATGTGCTTCAGTGTTGTTCGAATATTCTTTAAATATGCCTGCCATATATGACAGAGACCTGCACTGTTATATCCTATATCTAACTGTCGACTTTAGAGAACGATTTTTTGGTGTCCGACCAAGTTGAAATAAAACTAAATTATATTGGGTATTTTCTCATAATTCACCTTTAGCGTAAATATCATTGATGAAATCATGTTTGCATGAGTTGTTATTGAAACAAGTGATGTCAAAGGACCGCTCTACCTTCAAGTCGTTGAGCCAAATTCTCGTCGTATTCATCATAATTCTTCCTGCATTCGACAATATTAACGATTCTGAAGGATTCGCATTAAATTGCGCAGAACCTTCCTTCTTTGAATATTGAATATGCAGCGAAAGTAGACAACTTGAAGCTTTGGCATCAACAGAACTACACTCAGGTCTAGTGATATTAATGGGCTCTGACAATGATAAATCGAGTGTATGATCACATCTAAGGCATTGAAAAGCTAATATTGTGCACACGAAATGGAAGACAAGAATGAAAATTGATAATAAAAACATCGCTTTGTTATCAGTGACAATGCGCAGACTCTGATCGCTTCGTTCTTATATAGAACCGATATATGGCTGATGATTCAGTTTTTGTCGTCTCAGATTTCGCCAATTACTCGTATTCATCTATTTTGATTGATAAGAACGACACATTCGGCGCCTATATTCACTGAAGAGAGGCTTCATGAATAAAAACACACATGGCAAATTTTAGATTTTAGCTATAGTCATATAACGAGATAGCTCATCTTACATTATATTTGAACTGAAAACGCAGCTGTTTACAGACTTTTCATAGATTGAGAATACGTCAAATTTTACCATGCTTTGTGTCATGAACACAACCAAATAGCATGCTTTCATAGTGATGTTTCTCTCTGTTTATAATCACCGGAACGATACAGTTGTTGTTTAGAATTCAATCGAAATTTAATCCGAATGTGCTAAGTAAATACAAATATTGTAAAAACGGTGCTCAGTGTTTTCGTGATCAAGTTGATTGCCCTTCAAGTTTGGTATGTCTATCAAGTAATTGTTATTTCAGAATTTGATGTCAGCTATCAATGAAGAGGCCAGATTGATCGTTAGATACTGTTCTTGGCTACAAAAATTAGCCCAAAAGTTCACGTCTACAACATCTGATGGCAATAAAAATGATTATGATGATAGCTACATTGATATTTATCTTTGGTTTAGCCAATGCATGTCTCTCATTTATTATTTTTCAAACTCAAAGATTGAGAGGAACTGTTTGTAGTAGATTTATCTTCTCGTATCTCCCATCAGTTCCTGAGAGTATGGATATGGACTATGTTTTTAACATTGAGTACCCCCCGCAAAAGCTAGGTGTCCAAGGTACTTACAATTTTGTGAAAGTACTGCCTTTTGCTTTTTACTGTGAAAAACAAAGTACTCTGATGAGTGTGGGTATGATGTGAATAAGACCCACTCCCACATCCACAGTCATCCACAACCACACCCACACCATATACGCCGTATAGAAGAAAAAACAGAATGAAAGAATTTATTCATCAGGCAATAAGATAGAACCAATAGACCGAAACAAAATTCAAGTCTTTATTTTCACTGAAATTAGTCAGAATAGAAGATCATAAAGTAACATCATCTCGATAAAAACATAAAGCTTGTTTAACATGAATAAAAAACTGTCAGAGTAGGCTCACTTTCGTTCAGATGGGCTCACTTCAATTCCTGGTGCCGCCACTAGATCCTTATCTGTCAGATCCAAGTTCAAGGCAAATTACAAACTGACTATTGCACATCGACTTCGAAACCTTCATACATACTTTTGCTGATTATTGTGGAATATTTATTTGATTAAGTTCATCAAAATTTTATCTTTTTGTGTCGTTCATATTTCTAATTTTTTTATGAGTCCAATACTTGTTTGTTGTTGAAAAGAAATATGAAAAAATGAATTTATATTGAAATATCTACTAGAATTGGAAGCAGTAATATAAGTTGAATCAAATTGTGAAAAAATAAAAAAAGCTACTTGGTCCTTATTTATCGAATTAACGTCCAATTACGGTACAATCATGATATTTTAAATAACCATATACTAAAAGCTTTTCGATTTTATTCTATCATTATCGGTATCATTTCATAAAGTTTAAATATATTCATCATGAATATAGAAGCAAATTTATTGTTCTTTTCTGGAGCTACATAAAGATAAGATGAAATCGTCAAAATCTTTATTTATTGCTGATTATTCTGTGCGTTGTAACATTTCACGATCCCATTCAATTATTATTTGAATATCAGGTGTGGTTCGAACGCTAGTGTCCAGATCCAAACCATACGAGTTCCATTGATCCAGGCTAAGTCGTACGCTACTACCATTGACTTTGCATATAAATGCGACTTGTGTCTCAGATGAAATATAAATTTTTTTAGATACCAAACGTGGCACAAATAGATCGGCTGTGTCACAACCGTCGATATTGTACGGTATCGGGCTTTGGTAGGGTACACAGGTGTTTTTGATCCAAGTTTCATTCCAACCACTAGAATCTTGTGAAGGCGCATAGTGATCAAGACATGCGTTACTTCCGAAACCACCTTGGTTTACATTGAAATATACGTAAATCTCATAATGATCTGTTTTTGAATGACCTAAATAATTTTTTTTACCGCCACACATTTGATAATTATAACTATCTTCATAGAAACAACTACCATCATCATGATCAATGGGTCATACAGAACGGTAATTATTGAATGGCCTATTATGAGGAATATAACTTTTATGCTGCCACAGTAAAGGTAAACCGGACTGTACAGCATCAGTAAAAGATGGTTGTCGATCCCATGAATTGATTGGTCCGTGATCATTAGTTTCTCAGACAGTATTGAAGATGACATTCCAACTGAGCGTATGATTGCCATAGAAACCATCATTCACATTGATAACCGCTCGTGGCATATTAAACATGCGATTGCCAATAACAGACACGCTTCGACTCACAGAAATCAGTACAGGAGATGATTGTTTGAGATAGATACCCGTTTCATGAATAAGATTTGATTGTATGAGTGTATTGACAGGCTGACTCGTCATACTAAAACCATCGATTTCATTCGTGCTGCCAACAAGAATAATCGCTGAATCGGCTAACCATACGAATTCATTTAAAGTGATCGATGTAGCATCATTGTAACCAATGAAAGCGATGCCATTGCAAACCAATTGTGTGAATAAATTGCGTGTAATAGTAACGTTTCTCGTATTTGTCAAATACATGGTACCACCCCAATGAACAGCCCAATCACCACCACTTGGTACCATGTAATCTCTCATATATGTATTACTTGTCTCTGTCAGTATTAAACCTTGAATCAACACCTCATGAACAGTATTGTCGTTGCTACTGCCGCTAATAGAAATGAGACATGGAATTTGACTGGCAACAAAAACTTGAGGCATTGTTTCGTTTGGCATAAAATAGAGAGTACGCGTATCTTTGTCCAAAAACCATTCATTTGGTGAATCGACCTCTTCAAAAATGTTTGCGACATAAAATGCACCACCACTACCCGAACCACGTGCTTTTTGGAAACCTCCTCGACCGAACATGATTGTGTTTTTTGTACTATTAATCGACGCTATTTCAAATACCCAATTACCCCAATAACCGAAATGAAAACCATGCACAAAACCAGTCGTTGGCTTACTCCAATTACCAATATGAGACAATGCACCATTTTTCACAGTGAAACCTCGAGGAACAGCATAATTGCTACCAGTCAGTGGTGATGCTGTACACCAAAAGTTTCTAGGTGGATTGAAAACAGAAACACCACCACCTAAACCAAGTTGGAAATAAGGAAACACTGTACCATTTCGAGAAGGATCTTTTACATGAATTTCAACACTTGGATTAATAATTGGGGACATCCAGCTTTGTGAATCCAACAAAAACCTGGATCTTTTGCATATAAGCCTTGAGTTGAAGGATCACCATTCGGGTATTTAACAACAACTGCACGTCTGCCATCAGTATATAATTCATTGAACAGATCAAGATTAACAGATGATGGAACTTGAGCTTTCATTATTGTACCACCATTTGCCATTTTGGCATGAACAGATCATTGTAATTTTAGTAATGTGCCACTACTCAATATGACACGTTCATCTTGCTGGTTTTCGATCACAAGATTACTGCCATTAGTAGTTAGTGCTATTGCACCAATTTGACTACTTGTTGTGGTAGCATTAGTACCCAAATAATAAGTTCCTTCGCGTATAGTCATGCATAATGTCTTAACACTGCCATGTGTAGCACGTAAAGTACGTGTAAGAGACAAGGTTGCTTGGATAGTTTTTATTGTTCGTTCGAATGTTCTATCAAACATGTCATTACCTTTTAAATTGTGTACATATACTGTATGATGACAAATTCCTCGTTTTATTTCTCGTGCCGTTTTAAAGGGTTTTGCAGGCTTTGTTGGTTGATAAACAATTTTTAAGGTACTGTTGCATTGATTTGTTTGAAAAGCGCTTTGGCTGAGTGCTGTCCAATTGACTTTTAAAGACACGGGTGCAATATACGCGAGCAGTTCAATAGTAAAGGCTCGCAGTGCACAGTCATATTCCGGTAGAACATTTGGATTGCCAACCGTACTATAACCAGGATGATATGACTCGGTAAAACTCTTAGACGTACTTCTACCATACGTGATACTAGCAAAAAAAGATCTCTATTATTATTACTAAAGGATGATGCATGTTAATTGTTTTATGTTTGTGAATATATACGAAAACAAATGGTATACATATTCTTTCTTTAATAGTCGACCTTCCAATAAGATCTGCGCATATAAATATATGATAACGTGTCTGATGTCAAGGTGTGCAAGATTAGAAGAAACGTGCTATGCCTATCCATGTGTAACGCCCTAGAACAAAAATGTCAACACAGTGGCTGTGCATGATACATGTCTTTTATTTGCAGGATTTTTGCTAAACTTTATTCATCGTAAATTTTATTCTACTAATTACAGTTGCTGTCATATTTCTAGTAATAGTGACGTAGATTGCTTCGATAAAAGAAAACCTCACACATTAATCATGCTAATGCACAATAAATATATTGAGCAGGATATCTTAACTTCGTATTCAGTATAGCACAAGATTAAAAGTGTGTCTTTCTCACACTCATTGGTATTCCATACTAATATTTGGCAACCAGGATAATCGATTAGCCGCAAGTTGCAACTATTTATCTACACAATCAAAGAACTAATAATCATTTTCATGTTATAATAAAAGCCGTCATTTTTCAACAGATAATGTTAAAGATTTATTATATTCAATTACACGAGATATTGAATTAAACGAAGATATTCTTCCTGTAATCAGTGTATTTACATATAATACCACTACTTTACAACGATCAATAGGTGGTCTTTGCACAGATCATCAGAGTGCAATTTTTGCTTGGTTTCAAATACTCATCGATGTTTCTCGTCAAGTGTCACACACAAGCAAAGCTAAAGAAAAGATGATCGTTTTCTTGCGAGAATATTTTCATGGTTTCATTGTGGAACAAGAACAGCTCGATCAATTTATTAATGAATACAAATCAACATAAGTGATTCAATGGTATACAAAACCCCGCTTTCTATTTCGAGTTCTCAATCAAGCTCTTCATACGCTGAATATCGATAATATATTCAAGCTCCGCTATTACTTACAAGACTTGTACAAATACTGGAAGAACGAATACGTCGAGCAGGATGAATAATTAGAAACTGTAACAGTCTATCGTGATCAGTTGATGCATTAGGATCATTTTAATGCTCTGTTAAAAAATAGTGCAAATGGAAGTTTGATCGCTTTCAATAGTTTTCTTTCAACAACATACGATGAAAATTAGGCGTCGATCTTCGCTAGCTCTGAAACGAATACTAATAACGAAAAAACTTTGAGAAAAGAAAATTGCTTTTGACAAACATTATTCATTGAAGCGATGGTATCAGAAGAAAATAAAACAATTATTGGTATTAGTAGTATTTTTCATATCAACCAAATCGAACAAGATAAACAAAAAATGTACGGGTATGTGAATTCGATTAGAAATAAGTCGGTCGTTTACTTGGTATATTTTCGTTAATATGATGATATGTAATGTATGATATTTTTTTAATTGACATGGGAGATCTGTACCGAGTCCAACGATACTTTCGACTAATACTTAAAGACTTACCTACGAAACATCCTGATTTTGGCACTCTGTTGCGTAATCTAGGCGTTTCTGCACAAAAACAAAATCAACATGAGAAACTTATTCAATTATTTCAATGAGCTCTTCAAGTATTACCCGACGATTATGGAGATCAAACATATGAGTAAACAAATATGGGTACTGGTCATCAAACAATAGGGAAAGATAATGAAACCTTGAATGCGTGTCAAAAAGCAATTGAACTCAATTTGTTTCCATCAAATAAATCAAAAGTGTATGATAATATGAGATCGATCTACAAAGGCCGATGTCAATTCAATAGATCTATTGAAAATCACCAAATGTCTCTCAAACTGAGGTCTTCTAATGATCCAGCATTAGTTGCTACGAATATCAATCTAGCTTTGATATATACGAATACGAAAGATTATTTCAATTCATTAATTCATTGTCAAGAAACGCTAAATGCTATTAAAATTTTGCTGACACATAATATTCAAATAAGATCGATCTATTTCATTGTTGATTGTGTCAAGAAACAAAATGGAATAACATTTGGAGACTGTTGAATACTTTTCAGATGTTTTTAATGCTTATCGTCAAATGAGCCCCGAGTTTTGTTGTAACTCAAGATATTATGAAAACTTTGTACGAACAAGGTCGTTCTTATATGAAGCTCACACAGAATGTATTAATATGTGCACGTTTTAATGAGATTTGGTTGTTAGCCTCAACTGATGATGACCTTTAAGATCAAATAACTTTGGTCCATCATAGAATTAGTTAAATGTATGAAGCCGATGGAACTTTTCGTCATTCACTTGAATTGTATCATACAATACTGAACATTTGGTTGACTTTGCTTAAAATAAATTCGAATTTCGATTGACACGTGATCGCACAACTTGTGAATGGTACCACAGAAGTTCATAATAAATAAAAGCGTTATATGCATTTGCATTGTGGTAATAGTCTTAATCAATTAAAGTTGCCCAAGGAGATACAATCATGTTACAGGAATACAATGAGATTTTTCAAGCTATCGCAGAAATAGCAATGAATATTCAATGAGAAACTCTAAATGTATACGTAATTGCATTTTAAGAAAGTTTTATCGAAACCCTTATGATCTAATGTGTCCATAGTTGCACTTACTTAGTTCTAATCATTTGTTTACTAAACTACATAGATTAGTTTTATCGATGTGTAAGTATAACCACATGAAAATCAATCGTTTTCTATTATGAGTTAAATTCACTGTCTCTTCACACGTTAAAAGCTATCGTCGTTGTCGCTTATATAATCAGTCAAGTCGAAGTTTTAGAAAAATTACTTATTTATATCTCATGACGAACTACGATTGACGAAAAAAAGATAATGTCTACACAGCGCTTTCATCTACAGATGACAGATACACAATTTTGTTCAACACCTAACAAAAAATCGATGTTCACAAAAATTTGAATGAATTGTTTCAATCAGAAACTAATATTTTATCTATTTAGTTCAAATTATCTTTTTTAACTGTCATTCAGATGATAAGAGATATGCACATCATTTTAGGTCCCTCTACAATTGCTGAACGTCGGTTTTTGTTAACTACATTGATTTGGATATAAACTTTTTTGAAATAAATGAAAGTGCATTTAGTTATTATTCTACTCTCTCTCTCTCTGTTGTTCTTCTATAGTATTACATGTGAGAAATAGCACAACTATTATAATAGTCTTCTTTGTATAAATCGATTTATATCTATCCTGAAAAATTCTTATTTATAGCTCTTCAGCCGTTCATTAATCTAGTATTAGCCAATTCCGTATCGATAAATTGACAGATGCTGACTAAAAATTTTATAAGAGTAGAATATGCATTCAACAAATAGAAACTTTCATTTATGACTGGATCCTAATTTTCTACTATTAATATGACTATTTATTTAAATTTAAAAAATATCCTGTCAACCATGGAATTCGATTGATCTAATTTTGTCATAACTTCGATTCTCCAACAACTTCGATATATTCAACAACAATGAATAAAGTGCATCTGCTATTGATACTGACAGTGCTTTATTTTTTCATAAATTGATCGTTTGAACATATATATATGTGACGTTCTTTTCTATTATCAATCAATGGCGATTTTAGTTAAATGACTTTTTGAAATAAAAACATACTTTCATAGAAATATTCGCTCGTTTGATACTAGATTAACGGTTCAATTCCAGTAACGATCGATACAACATTATTACTGTTTCAACATCATCTTTTAGTTTATTTAGCTTGCTATTGTGTAGAGACTGCTTTTCTTCTATTCTGAAACATCGAAAAATGCCTCAAAAGCAACATATATGACATATTCTATTCGAGATACAAATTCAATTTGGTTGTCCTACTTTAAAAACATTTACTTGATGGAATCAATAGGAATTGTCTTAACTTACTCATGTTTCATCAATGACTTGTTATTAAGTAAAGATATTATTTTATAGAGGAAAAAAATAGATGAGAATATTTATAGAAAATCGAGATGACATTGATTATCAATTGTTTGACGACCACGTATCAGGATAAATGAATATTATAACACACGTAGATTTGTTACATGTAAGTCAATCAAATATTTGATAGTTACAACCTTTGTTGATGTAGCCTACTTGAATCTGTCAGTCGTTTTTCTTCACAGCTTACAAAAAACCGTCGAACATAAATGATTGAGGAAATTAAGATTCTATATAAACTCATTTGTACACATGTAATGTGAATGAGAATAATATATAACGAGTTCTTAAACAAGTTTAATATTTATTAATTGTTTCATCAAAATAATTAAAAGTTGTATTGCTTTAGATGCGATTCCATCGAGAAAGAATAATCATATTTCAAGCTAGTGAAAACTAAGGGTCTTTAATATATATTTTCATCAGTATTTTTTACAAATGCATTAAATTAATTGAAGATCTAATTGGTTACGAACATTTTCATTACGAAATTTAAAGAGGTGTCCTCGAAACAACACTTGCAAAGATTTAGAAACTACAAACCAATGCTTTCTTCTTTTATATGATATTTGAGAACATTGAATGTGTCGAGTTGGAGATAACATTAGTTAGTGGAACGTTTAGATAAAGTAATATACAAATTAACTAATGACAACTGAACAAAAATATGAAAAAACATGAAGTAGATCATTTCTTGGTTTCCAGCAGAGATGAGCACAGAACAGGTAAAAAAAACCTTATTCTGTGCTCATCTCTAACATTTTTTTTCTTGAAAATAGTATAAAATCCATTAGTTAGAAAATATTAATTGGTGATATTTTCTTTGTACAATGAAAGTAAGAGTAAAACTCTCACTCTTGGCATTTTACAACCTGTGAAAACGGATTTAATTGGCAGAAAACCGGCAGAAATCGTGACATCTTGTCCTGATGCCCGACAGTACAGAAAAATTAACAGGACAAAAACAGAACAGGAGAAGATTTTAATTTTCGTCCTGTCCTGCCGCCCGCCAGGACCGAGATAACTAGCAGGGCAGGGCAGGAGAGAAAATCTTGTCCTGTGCTCATCTCTAGTTTCTAGCGCTATTTTGAATCATAACATTGAGCAAACAGGATCTGTAATAAAACTGGGGAAGAAATGATTTACTTGAATGTGAATGTTATGATTATTTGTATCAAAATCGTTTTAGTGTTTCGTTCAGCTTGGAATTGACAGTTTTCTGAATAAATGAAAAAAGAGTCTCAATCGTAATAATAAACTCGAATCTTTATTAGAGAAGATACAATATCTTAATTTTCTTTTAAACAATTTTTAATAACATTTGAACAAATTTAAAACGCAAAATAATTATTAGAGAATTAAGAGATTTTCAACGTTTTTTTCACATCTTTTTCAGCTTAATGTTTTGTGTTTATTAAAACCTAAACGCCCAACATCATAATGATACGGTTAATACAACATACAGAAAAAAAAATTAGCTAATTGAAAGTAAGAGTTTGTTCGGTTTGGTTAATAATCGATGCGATTGTATCTGTAAGCCATTGAACATCATGCGTTATAACTATAGCTTCATGAATAGCAAAGAAACATCTAATAAAATCAGATAAACATATAACAGCTCGTTCAAAATTATATTTATAAAGTAAATATTGCCATGTTAGTTCAATATATGTATCTTGAATACGTAAGATTTCTTTGATATTTGATAAGTTTTCTGAAGAAGTATTTGAATAGACTGTATTACAATTTGTTGAAAATGAAAGAATAGCAAGAAATAATTTCATAATGATCATATCAAAATCAAGGCGATCTACTATACGTCTAACAACAGGTATGACACTTGGATGAGTAAGCATTTCTATAACATTATAATAAATAGGATAATTCGTTAATTGAATTTTGTAGAAGATAAAAATTCCAGAAAGATTTCCCGTATATGTAAATGTAGTATGAAGTAAAATCGAACGATCATCTATAGATAAAGAGAGAAAATCTCGATTATTTATATATAATGATTGGCATTTATCTAATGACATTTGAATCAATTCCTTTATTGGTTCTTTTTTAAAGCGTAATTTAATTGGTAGAACATGTTGTTCAAGCATGAAACGTTCACCTATTGATAATCCACTATGTTCATCATAGCAGTGTGATATATTAGAGAGTAGATTCCATTGATCAATAGTTAATGTCGATTGATCTGTTTGTAAAAGATTCAAAGTAGGAAACTAAACATCGAAAAAAACACAACCATTAGTAGAAGATAGACAATATTTGAAAGCCTAAAAGGACCTCGCACAATTTGATTGGAAACCTACCAACTCGTAAAAGGTCCTTTAAATATAAACAGCATCAAAGAAAATATTACTCAGTATCTTCTCGTGTAGTGGATTTGATTTCTATTAATGATAAGAAATTGATACAGTTCATGAATTTGTGTTTAAGAGATGCATGTATAGGTAAAACCATGGATGAATGAACGTTTCCTTTCCATGCTTCTGTTTCATATTGAATATCGTGGTGGAATGCACCTTTGTTCTCTTTGCAAAACTCTTATAAACGCTTGATAAGTTCTTTTTCTTCATTATGAAATATATGGGTCACAATATAGTTAATACTACATTTTTGCAACTAGCCCTTAATAAAACGACCAATTTTTTTCAACAACAAAAGAAAATACATGCGTGAAATTATCTGAAAAACTGCAGCAATGTTTACTCTACAAAATCCATGTATTCAAACAATTCTTCAAATGTGAAGCTCCTCACACATATCTGAACAAAACATTCTGTTTTAAGTGTTTGTATGGGTTTTGTAGAGCGCACGAAGTGCATCGAACCACGATATTCAATATGAAAATTATTTATGGAGAGAAAACGCTCATTTAACCAGGATTTTACCAATGCATGTATCTTTCAACACAAAATCTCATGAGTTGTATCGACTTCTTCTCATTAATAGAAACTAAACCCATTACATGAGGAAATGCAGAATAATATTTTCTTTGATGCTATAGATATCTAAAGGAAATTTTACCGATTGGTGACTCTCCAATCAAATCATAGAGGGTCCTTCGGAAATATTTGAAATTAGCATCGATTTCAAAACGAAATGAAATATTTATATAACTAACACTTCAATTTCTATTTTTCTCAAAAACTTCTGGAGTCGAAAAAGTTGAAAATTAGTTCTTCGTTAGATTCTAGTGGAAACTCATCATTTGATGCAGAATCCGATGCTGGTAGTGAATATCTAGTTGCTGTTCACTTGCTTCACGTTCATTTTGATTCAACCTGTGATTTTCGGAAAAAGAATAAAACTTCATAACGAACACTATTTTTACAATTTATTATTCAATGTCGTTATGCTTGTTAGGAAATCAATCAATATTCTGAAAGCTTGTTAAAACCTTAAAAACTGTTACATAGAAAGGTTATTCGTAAGTCGTTTTATTTCTTAGCCATATGATGAACTCTCAACTTCATTAAAAAATTCATTTTTTTGAAATTCCATAATGGTTAGTACTGCTAAATAGCGTAGCTCAAACTGAAGAAAGTTCAATGCAATTTTTATTGATAGTAGTTCTATACTAAAATTTTTGAAGAAGTGCTTTTCTCATTGACGAGAAACTGATGTTAGAATGTACAAAAATGAAATTCCACAGTGCTTGCTTGGCCACGCCGATATTTAGTTCAACTACAGACATCATCCTCATATTTTCCTTTTCGTTTACATCGGTTTGAATCAAATATTATTACAATTTTTATGACATTCTCTTGAAATTGATCTAGGTTTTTCAAATAAATAATATCTCATTTATTTCTAAATCTGAATCATGATTTCAGTATGTTATTGAGTACAACTTTTAAAGTTGTCATACATCGAAATGGCAAAAAAAGTTAACGTTGAATAGTCCGCAAAGTATGAAATTTCACTTTGTCTTTGAAGTATTGAAGTCTAATTTTTGCCTCATTGCTCATGTCTCTTTAAATATTACATATACATAAATCTTTTCAACAAATTTTTCATGATTAAAGTTAAGTTACTTTAGAGCATGAGTAAAGAAGTATATTAGAATGTAGCTTAAAACTTAATGAACTGTTTAAAAATAAAAATATTTTGAAAAGTTACATTTAAGAGTTTGCTTAAGTAATGTTTAATTTCAAAAATGAAAGAGACAACATGTATTGAACAATATGGATAAGTGTATACAGATTTTCGCTACCAATTTAAAACTTTGGTTCAAAAAAATGAAAACATTTGACATCAATAACAATTACTTATATAAAATTAGTTGTTTTGAAACCTGAATGAGTCGAAAATTATGGATAAAACTTCAAACTGACTATGAAACAATACAAAAAACACTAAGTAGTTGAAACAAATATAATATGAACGCTATATTTTTCTTTCTTAATAGAAAACATTCTACATCTATTTTAATCAAGTCTCAAAATAGATTAAATATAATACAAAGCTGTCATAATCGTATCGATATAGCTTAAGATGACAGATTACAAAGTATTAGGACATTTCTAAAATGTCAGAAAAGTAGTATTGCTGCGAAACCACCTAAAAGACTATCAGCATTTGAGGAATATCACGTATCCATCTTAAAGAGCTTTACTCATCATAACAATGATTATATACTGAAATATGATAATCAAATAATTTTACTTGTTCAAGTTCATTCAGTTGACATAAACTTGTTGATACTATTTGTTTTGAATTTTTTATTGATTTTTTTTTTCGATTGGTTTTGCTTGTTTTTGAAAATGAACATCGAATCATCTCAGTTTGCATTCCACTATTAAAACATTTAACCAATCGACAATAAGAACATATATGACGATTATTTATATTTATTTCACAATCACCATCATAAGGACATCTGAATGCTTCCTAGAACCAAAAAAAAGACAAATGAATGTACTTACAAACAAAAATGTATTTGTCAATTGACTTTTCCACGTTCAGCAGTTCGTTTGAAAAACATTTTACATGGATGACATGAAACTATGCCAAAATATGAATATTTAGCAAAAGCTCCACAAACTTTACATTCCTTGGGTGCTTGTATAGATTGTCGTTTTTCCTTTGTAGAATTATTTGACGATAATTTTTTCATTGTCGAAAAATACATTTTCATTTCATTAAATCTAAAAAGCACTCATAAAAAATATAAAAATTAGAATTGCTAAGAGAAATAATGAAGAAAAACTTCGAAATTTTTATCGATTAATAATCAGAATTGTGAAGAATGAGAGAACTATTGTAAACAACGCAATTATGACTTTTTGGAATATTTTTGATTATTTTTGACGCATATCATGTTTTTTGTCGCAGTTCCATACTTATGCTATTAATACTAGACACAAACTACCACGTTGATGAAATACAGAACGAATAAGAACAGAAAAAAGAGAAAGAAAGAAAGAAAGAAAAAGTTATTTTTTTGTGTTTTTTTTTCTGTAGAGATAAGTATAGATTGTCGATAAGTATATACGTCATGATATAAAGATTGAAAAAAACGTCGTTTTGTTATGCAACCCTATTTTGTTTCCGAATAATTTAATTTTAACGTAATATTACATTAATTCTGAATGAACTGATACTCGATAAATAAATACAAAAACAAACAAGGTCAGAAGAATAATAATTGCTGAAGACAACTTGAGTTTCACTTTCATTATTTTCTTCTTTACACTCAAACACATTCTCTTCTCTACGCATAGACAAATACACTTTAAGTACGCACCCTTGGTCACATAATCAATTACTCCTAGAATATCAAAAAACTTTGGAGTTATATTCTATTATCATTACCATGAATAATTATCAAAATGAACCAATTTTTCCTTTATCAATAGTAATAGTAGGGTATGGGTAGCTGGTAAATTCATAATGTAGAGACTCAAGTTAGTTTATATGAAATTTTGCAATATACCACTGATTAATTTGATTTTATTCACTTTAAACTACTTCATATTTACGAGAAGAGAGATGGTCATATATCAAATAAAACGCATGAAAAGAAAATGATGCGATGTAAATATAATGTGAAAATAAGAAAACATTTCATTCATAATACGACATTTTGGAAAAAAATGAAATAAAAAATTTTGATTAGAAAGTTTGTCTATAGAAAGATTTGAATGGAATATCTCGAAAGAGTTTCATTTGTTTTTGCTCAAACTTGTGAAATATTCTAATGATCATCAGATTTTTTATTTCTTTGTTTATAATGAAAAGGCTTTGTCATCGATAAAACGATCATAAGCCCTCGTCACTAGGTCATGGATCTGAATCCTGTTAGACTTTTCGTAGACATATTCTCATGTTTAGTTTTTTTTAGAGAACTTATTGAACTAAAATTTTCTTAGTAGGAGTATGTTAAGATATGCCAATGAATGGTTTATCAATTGAAATATTTACTTTACTTACCGATTTTTGCAAGCGAGAATAACTGTATAAATTATATCTAGACTATTTTGAAAAAGAAAACCATTTTAATTGTCGATTAATCACTATCAATAGTCCTTAGTAATGTGTTTGGAATCACTTTCATAGATTCATTCGCTAGTTGTTCATTCATCTACAGAAGAAATGAACGATAAAAATATTATTCAATATCACACTAGTGAATCTTTCAATGATGAAGTTCAAGCATTACAATAAAAACTTGAAAAGAAACAGTTACTTTTAGTCTATGTACACAAAAAAAAGGAAGAATTCATATGAGATCTTAATAGAGAATCTATTTCATTTTTATTTGGTCAAATATTTAAAATTTTTAATAAAAAAATACCTAAATCTTTTCAATCAAAAGAAATAATATTGGAGAAATGCCGAACCGATTATTCAAATGATAACTCGAATTGAATGATAGTAACGAATTCGATCGTACATAAAATTCTTTAGAAGTTTTATCATACGATAAAATAGGATTGTTTGTTTTTCAGTTAATTAACACAAAAAAGCTTTATATTGAATGATTATCATTTAGATTATTCAACAGAGCACTTTGTACAAAAAATGTCGATGTTTTATATTAATTTTCGTTTTTATAGGATTGTTCTATGTAAACAATTTGAATGTAAATGTATTCAATCAAAATAAGACAGAAATGTTGACACTTTATTGAAGTCTTAAACTTTCGCCATTGGAAGTTACTGCTTTACAAAAAAATATCAGGAACTTGATTTCAACCAATGAATATTTGTCTGTCAGTTGACTTAATTCAGCTGCTTATGAGTTTACCGCAATGCTTAGACAAGTGATTAGGAGTTGTATGTGTTTTTTTTTCTTAATAAATAATTAATTTAAATCTCATTAAGATATTTACTACTACGGATATTGCACAGCATTCAGCTTTTCCATAAAAAGTGGAAGTACTCATCGTATTAGTCAGGCTAATTAAAAAAATGTTTAATTGATTTGTAATTTTTGGAGATAAATGTATTAGCCGGTGTAAGATGGAAGTAATTATGAGCGTGCGCTGTGAATGTGTTGCTGTGTTCAGAGATGGAATCGATTTGGTTCCGCCTGTAAGCTCACCTGTTCAGTTCGATTCAGCGTTCTTCAAGTTCTTCTTGGTTTCGGTCCGGTATAAATTATGAAAAACAAGAACTGATCCCATCTCTGGTGTAGCCGCAGTTGCTGGCGTGCGTGTACTCTAGAAGAAGCACAATCTTGGATGCTGACAGGTTCATATTCATACCGACCCACATGTACACCCACATTCAGTGATTATTACAGCTTTTTGACAGTTTCAGGTTCAGCGAATGTTCTTTTTCACATTATTCAAGTTTTATTAATGTTCATTATTCACAAACAGGTTATACAAGTCCAGGAAGCAAAAATCGTTTCAGCTGAAACTTTAAGAAGGTTCTAGTAATCATTCGATTTACTTGTTGCGAAAATTTCAAATCGAAATTATTCAGTTCGATTTTTTCAAAAAACAAGCGTGCAATCACAGCTCCAAGAGTGCAATGCTAAACGGCTGCACACTACACAACAGTGTTATAACTAGTAGCTGTAAATGGTTGGTCCGTTTTCGTCAAGGATCCTTTCTAACGGTAGGTTATCATTTCGCACAGATTATATTTTCCTGAATCGATTCCTAAATCAGGTCCACATTTGTGGACTTTCAAACAATTAAGATCAATTCAGGTGACCAAGTAGGAACTTTAATTTAGGAACTAGGAACTTATATTTAGAAACATTTTTATATAAGATATACAACACATCTTGGATATTTCTTATATTAAAAAGTTCCTGAATATAAGTCCCTAGTCCCTAAATTAAAGTTCACTAAAATTAATCTTAATTGTTTGGAAGTCCACAAATGTGAACTCGACTTAGGAATCGATTCAGGAAACCACATTTTGTGGAAAATGATAGTCATTCCTTCTAGCTGGTAGACGCAACTCTTTCTGTATCGATCGGTACCGATTTTTTCTGAATTTTGCATGTTTTTTTCAAAATAATTACAATAGAGGTTATATATAAATGCATTTGACAGGACCTGTCTTTATTCATTACTCGAATAAATAATGGCAGAACGACTATTATTCATTAATTCAAAAAGAACGAACACAAAGAAAATAAAATGAGTTCCAACGGCGATTCGAATTCAAATACTATTACTTCTAGTAACTAGTCAGACACTTTTACAAACTGAGCTGTCCTACGAGAAACTTAACTGAAATTCAATTCAATATGAGTATTTATTTAATCTACTCGAATGATAAATAATAGTCGCTTGACAATCTTTTATTCGAATAATCAATGGAGAATAGTTCTGCCATATACATTTATATATAATTATATACGATTTAATGCAATGACAGTAGACAAGATTATTTTCAAATTCTCCATTATCGAGGTCGATTAGAGTTAGTCATCGTACAACGATGTCTCTATTCAGAATATTATTCGAAACAAGACAAGCGTGTCTTCTTGATTGCGGACGAAAATCAAAGCAATTAGCTGCCGACAGTGTGGGTGAGGGCTGAAATTTTGTCCGCAATTAAGAAGTAGCCCTTTTCGAATGATAAATAATAGCCATGCTATCATCCTTTATTCGAATAATAGATAATAGAGATGATTTTTTCGCATACCGAACTAACTTTATTTATATTAATGACTATTTTTATGGAGAAGTATGGATTAGAATATTGCGATTAAGTGAATATTTATTAAAGTACGTCTAATATATTTTATCAAGTCATTTCAAAATCAAGTTATATCATTGAAATTAAATGAAATCATTATGTACTATTTCATATTATTTATACAATATCTTTTGCAGAAACTCAAGAGATAACAAAGTAAACCTATTGTGAGACATACAGTACATCTACACTTAACTCAGAATTTCTACATCTGACAAACATTTCATTAGTGTACAGAACTAATATAGAATTTGTACTTAGGGGTATCCAAAAGTAGTGTCGCCATTATCAAATTCCCTTATAGAAAGGTTAAAAAAAATTTCTTTCTTTTTCAAAAGATAGAGCGTCTTTCGCTCTATTTTTCTATACTATTTGATCATACCTTAACTAATATCATGATAATAAATTTTTGATAAGACGTTTTTCGTTAACATGTTTGCTCGTGGTAAGTTGTATGTTGTAGTTTTCAATTCCTTATTACTTGAATTAACAATCAAAATATGCCACAAGATGCAGCGTGAAAAGCTCTACAATTTCCATAAGACCACTTATTTTCTAGTTGCACTTTTTGTTCTTAAAATAGACTAAATTTTGAGAGATCAAATTTCGACCATGGAAAAAGATCATGTTTTTGATACACGACGAATTCATTTTTTGTAATCTGACCATCTTATCACCTAATATGCTTTATTAAAAGAAAAACAAAATACACCAGAAGATGCAGCGTGAAAAGCTCTACAATCTGTATAGTAAAGTTTATCGTAATTGTTTTGAAAAAAAGGAAAATTCTATACGATCAGTTTTTACATCCGCCAAAGTTCGATCACTCAAAACTTTGTCCATTTTGAAAACAAAAAGTAAAACTAGAAAATAAGTGCTCTTATGGAAATTGTAGAGCTTTTCACGCTGCATCTTATGGCATATTTTGGTTGTTAATACAATGTATTAGTGGACTAAAAAACTAATCCGTCTG